TTATACTGGAGTAATGATGCTGAAAATACAGCTGCGCATCACAGAAATAAATTATATTTTAAAGGAAATTAAAATAGAAACCATTATTTTATATTGTAAAAACATTTAGCAAGATTACATTTTTTTTCTGTATTTTTGATCAAATAAATGCAGCCGTGATGAGCAGAAGAGACCGTTTTAAGCCAGAATGTGCCGCGGTGATCAGAGCAGACTCACGGTGATGTGCAGACGGCTGAAGGTGTCTCTCATGTGGTTGAGAAAGTCCGGCAGAAGCTCTAGAAGACAGGAGGCCAGAAAAACCCCGCAGGCCAGACACGACACCAGACTCAAAACCCTGTGCCGCCGAGAGCCTAAAGCACACACACACACGAATCATTCTGTCTGAACAGGACGGGCTTCATCAATGTTCTACAGGCACGAGCAGGAACTAGTTACATGTAACAGAATCACCTCATTATAAACGTCATTTAAATCAGGTACAGTCACTGAGGAAAAAAGAGTGCAGTTCAATTACAGTTACTTCTGTTTTCACACACACACATAAAGATTTCACTGACTTCTCTAAAATATGACAGCAATGTTTCAGGAGTTTAGGACACATGCTTATTCCATAACTGTGTTATGTGCATGCTTTATTTTTTAAGATGAACTCTTTTTTCCAAGGCATTTCTCTGTGCAAAGATATGATTTCAAAACCAGCATCATAGCTGCTAAACTATTTCTTGCTATGATTTAAAATCTGTATTTAACCTCAGAATGATCTCAAAGCGAGGTGCTAAAGTCTGATTTTGTGGTGGCTGTGCTTTAAAATCCGATTATTATACTCTTAAACCAAGTGACGGAGGATTTTGTGAAAGTCTGGCTGCAAGGTTAACCCTGCCTGCTTTAAATCTCAATGTGATTATCAGTTGAAAACATTCGAAATTTAGAAAAGTATCATTAAAAAGTAATCAGTTACATTACTTGTAACTATCTGTAACCTATGACATTCCCAAAGTAACCTTCCCAGCACTGCTCGTGAGAAAGTTCCTATTATAGTTTTTTGACACTAGAGTGAAATATGAGCTTCATCATCATCCTCATCCTCATCAGACCTGGATCTGAGCGGCGTCTCGTGACACACACAGGACTGAATCCACACAGCAGACTGAAGCCCAGCATCAGCACCAGTGTGAGGAGCTTGATGTGAAGAAGCCCAGGAGAAACACCTGAGGAGTCCATCACCTGAGAACATGCAGATCACACACACATCAGCTGCAGATCACACACACACACACTCACAGACTCCACTAGAGCTCAGCAGGACTTACCAACACACAGACTGAAGCAGAAGATCCGAAGAAGATGATCTCTTCTAGATCAAACTTCTGTTCATCTGTGCAAACTAACGAGCAGTGTTTTTGATACGTCAGATGAACACTCGAGCTTGAATCGTGGCTGTTCGCTGAGGTTTGTTCCTGTATGTGCTCCACTTCTTTTCCTGTTTTCGGGAAACTGACGGTGAGTCACCACCGTATCCGAATCTGATTCATTTCAGTGAACGATTCAGTTGTCTGACTGATTCAGAACTCGTTTGCGGATTTCGGAATCGCGTACTAGCATACTACTCTCACTATTTTTCATCATATCTTTCTAAAGCTAGAATAGAAAGAGTAGTATGCTAGTGTGCGGTTCCGAATTCAACAATGCAACTCAAAAGATTCATTCAAAAGATCCGACTCAAAAGAGTGATTCATTTGCGAATCGGGTGTCAATATGAGTCACAGCTGTCCACAACAACTTGTCCAAACATGCACAAGGAACATTATAAACGTGAATTAAATGCATGCAGCCAATTATTATGTGTACAATACTGAGATATATATCATGATACTAAATGAATCACCATGGTATTATAAAAAATATTTACTTTAAATTTTAGTACAGCTGCTGGACATTACATGCATAACACGAAACATTATGTAAGCAGTCCGAGTAGAGACAGAATTTCATAAACATATATATATATATATATATATATTTTGTATTATATGCACTTATATTGTATTGCACGAATGTAGAATGCCTGAGCCTCAACCTAAGCATTTCAATGTGCAAATTGTCACTCATTTATAACATAAAAAAAATAAAAGTCACTATTCCGTGCTCTTCTCTATATAATTTTTACTCATGATCGGGAATAGAAATCATCCTCATCAACCTCTATAAAATGATTACAAATTATTTTTACGTAATCACAAACGAATGTGATTGGTCTATCCTAAAAGTAACAGGTATCACGTTTCTTTTAGAAGCGTCTGAAAAATAATTTACACTTGAATAGCAGCACTGAGAAACTTTAATGCATGTTTAAGTGAAAACAAACAGTCAAGATTTAACAGAGAATAATTATTTTTTAATCTCTTCATATCTGTGCAGAGGCGCGTGACACGCTATTGGTCAGCGTCTCTCCAGAGCCCCGCCCACACGCTCAACGCGGAAGTGAATTACTCTGAATCAAATGAACCAGAAGATTCGGATCCACACGGAGAAATATCCGCGTTTGCTCGCAGAATAAACCTTACCGAAGGATGCGAGAAGCAGATATCGTGTCCGGGGACGTCAAACCCACCGAGCGAGTGAGTAAAGCGTGCAGAAAACACCGTAAACCCGGTTTGTTTACAGTGATTGATTGACAGCTGACATACAAACACATACTCGGTTTAAGCGTCACACGGATCAGCTGTTGTTTACGCTGTTTCTGTTGCTCTAATCTGATCTAATCTTCATGTGTGTGCTCCACCTGTTTAATAACGCATGCTGAGACACTGAGAGAGAGAGACTGAGAGAGAGACAGATACAGGTAGAGTTCATTGCTGAAGGATCAGAGCTCCTCCTGGTCACGTGTCACTGAACCTGAGACAGAAGCATGTTTGTCACTGTGATAATAGCTGGACAATATAAACAAAACCATTGTTTTTTTTCATGCACTGGTCAGATTTTGAGTTTTGCTTTTTTTTAGACTAGTGGAAAGAAAACATACGAAGTACACATTTAAGTGTTTGTTATTACACTTTATTTGTTTGCATCTGTAAATTTCAATTCCAATCCATATCATTAAAGGCTGTGTGTTTTTCTCCACATAAGCAGCTCTTACGTGCACCAAGCTTTACGTGTGTTGTGTCTGTTGTAGGATGCTGAGGAGGTTCTGGAGAGCGGCCTGCTCCTGGAAGAGTCTGGAATACTGTACGCTGGACTGGAGCGACACACGGAGGACTGGAGCGTCGAGCCGCGCTGTGTGAGTGAATGCAGGAATAATCCAACCAAAGATGAACATTAGCTGGAAATGTGTTCATCCTCAGTTCATCCCAGATCAGGATGAGTTTGTTTCTTCATCAGATTTGGAGAAATGTAGCATTGCATCAGTTGCTCTGCAGTGAATGGGTGCCGTCAGAATGAGAGTCCAAACAGCTGATAAAAACATCACAATAATCCACAGCACTCCAGTCCATCAGTTAACATCTGGAGAAGACAAAAGCTGAAACAAATCCAGCATTAATTTTAACTAAAATACGAGTCCATAATCCATAATAACGC